ATAGTGAATAGCAATATAGGTGGAATCCCAGCCGTCAGATCTTCATCGAGTGGTTCAAAATACATATCGCTATTTTAATTTTAATTTTTCTTTATAAATTTGATTTAGATGAAATTATGGGTGTATATACCTAATACTATTGCGCACCATATAAAAATATAAAAAAAATTATTTTCAATAATTTAAAATGACCAAATTAGCCCCACCATTTTTCAGGGGTATTTTGGTCATTTTATATTTTGGAAAATATTTTTTATATATTTTTTAATTGTGTGGCCTATGTTTTAGGACTAGGATCAAGATTTCGAATTCAAACCTTAGATATAGATGGATCATATCCCCTAAATTCTTCTTCTTTTGTCAATCAACATTTCTTTCTTTTTATGTTCTCCTTTGTTTTTGTTCCTTGATGACCAAACGATTGGATCTACAATAAAATAACCATCCAATTTCTCTCTCGTTTCGCCACCTATTTTCAATTATAAGTATTCTTAATCTCTTCTGCCTTGTTCCTTTTTTTGTGGGTAACCGGTGCAACATTTCGAAATAATTGAATTGATCGATCCAAATTCTTTCGTCCCGAAATCTGAATATGAATACTAAAACTAAACTATGATCTTATTTATGTTAGTACACATGTATAAAATTTCATTAGGATCCGATTTTTAGAAAAAAATATTAAAATTTATATAGTGATCTACATTCTGAACCACATGATGAAGATCTGATGGCTGGAATTCCACCTATATTACTATTCATTATAGCTGTCCAGATATTGTTAGCTTTTTCCTATATTATATATATATATATAATGGGTGAAGCGTGTATAAAGTGCCCACCTTAAGTAAGGCGCACCTCAAAATTTTTCATGAAGGTGTAGCTTTGGTGTTGAAAACTTTGTGAAGGCTTGAAAATTCATGTTCCCCCCTAATTATGAAATTTCAAATTCCAAAAGTAGTGCAGAGTGAACAGATCTATAAACATTTGAAATTCTTGAAAATAGACGGTCCAAATAGCTTGTTATAGTATTTTTAGGACTTGTAATTCTTTTTGTTCTTTATATCTGTACATCTCGAGGTCGAGATGATCAATTGGAAGTTTTTCCAACTTCGGAACACTGTTTGTATTGGATTTTTGAGGTGCACCTGACTTTTATAGTACAATGTTGCATCTTATATTAACTTTTTCATATAATATGTGTTCCATTGTGTGTGTGTGTGAGCGCGTGCGTATGCATGTGTGTGTGCGTGTGTGTGTGTGTTTGTTTATTGTTGCTGGTGTTGGGGTTTTATTTGCTCCAAATCATGTAGGAAAAATGCCATGCCCAACAGTCACAGAAAGTAGGATACATGTAGTGAATTTGGTCCCCTAACTTGAATAGGTTGGGCTAGAAAGCTCTTGAGCTCTTTTACATGGGCATCTATCTTTTATTCCAGACTACTTAGTTAATGGGGCTAGTTTCCTCAAGGCTATACCTTCTTAAACTATATCAAGATAATGTAGTATTTTTCTTTGTTTTGCGAACAACATGAAAACACGTAAAGGATTTTCATCTATTGCTTTTTTTCGCTGCACAATATCTATTGTACAATGACATGCTGCAAGTTTTACATGCTGCAAGTTTGATATCACATTGAATATGGTCAAATTATTAATTATAAATACAGATGTTGTGTGATGTTTTGACGAGTATATGTGAGCAATACTTTATTACTGTATTTATAGTTGACAAGGGCATAGTTGCTAATAGTGCATTACCGTATTCTGAAATTGAAGATCAAATAAAAGATAATTTCTTGTGTTTTCATTTGTTATTGCTCTATACTGGAAAAAACAATCAATATGAGAGAGACGGAGAGGAAACAAGGGGGAACAATGTTTTATCCATATGTGCTGAAAACCTTCATAGTGGCTTATATTCAATGTTCAGATGCATGATGAAAATCATGAGACAACTTGTGAGAAGGCTGTCATGCATAAAAAATAATATTCTTAAGAAATTGGCAACTGCTAAATACCAGATGTTTCTTAGCTGTTGGTTCAACCAATAAAAAAGTGTCCCCTTTTTTATGGAGACATGAGATTCAACTAGTGAGCCTATGAGCTGTCAATTTGGGTCTTAGTAATGTGCTGCTAACACGCAGGCCTTTTCTGAAACTTCTGAACAGTAAAACTATTCTTGCTATAATTACAGTGCTACTAATAGTGAACAGACTACCTTAGAAAGGTGACGCGTAGGCCACTTGGCTCAGGCTTATGGTGAAGTTTCTCATTCTAATAGGCATAATTAGACCAATGGTCAGGCAGTTTTCAAATGGTCCTGTATCTCCTTGAAAAATGATTGCTAAACGCCGATAGGAATGCTAAATGGTCTTTTTTATTGCTAAGAATAAGTGTCTAGGGCATCTCTTATAGAAAAGCTTGGTGTGAGAGAAAGAAAGAGAAAGAGGACAAGAGAGAGAGATCGGGAAAGTGTGTGACTTTGATAATTCTGTGGATTCTATTGGCATAGTTTCATGTTGGTTTCCTGCTACTGATTTCGTTGGAAAATAACTTGTATTTGGTTTTAGCTGGGAAAGTTGCCGCACAGAGGAGGCGGCAACATGCGGTAACAATTGGGAAGGAAAGAAGAGAAGCTATATTACGCACGAAGCGCTTATGCAGAGATGGGGTTGTAGGTGATAATGAAGATCAAGTAGATGCAGGTATGATTCTTGATGAAGAGGGGGCAGCTTTGGATGCTCAAACAAATGAGACTGTGGGGGAACTGAAGTCTGCTCTTCGTATTCAGTATGATATCTCCTTTTCCGTCCAACATTGAAACAGACCCTTATATATTGAAGTGAAGCCTGTATGATTTTTCTGGTATCATGTGTTAGTAGACTTATCTTTGCTTAGATAAGATCTTGCCATGACTTGTTTCATGGTTGCAGTTTTTGGGGTAGTTCGCACATAACCATCTGGTAAAGGTTCCTTCCAAGTCATAATTGACTATGCTATGCCTTTGTGACATTTATTAATGAATCGTTTGTTCCATTGCCATGGAAATTTGTCATGACCAGTAACATGCATGATGGGGTTTTCTTTTGATAAAGGCGGGAGCTTTGTTGAGTAACATGATTGTTATATTCAAAACATCGCAAACAATTGCATCTTACCATTGCTAATAAGAAATCGAGAGGAGTTTTGAACACTTGGACAATTAAGTTCATTCTGGATGCCGGCTAGTGTTTTTTGTTTGTTTCATTGCAAATTGTAGGAATATGTTGCTATCAAATGCTTCACTGCTGAACATAGTTTTCGTTCTAATACACATTGAAAAACTGTTAAGACTTATTTTATTCTTGAATTTGTGGTCACCAATGTGCCCATTGGAACGACACTTGAGCTGAATTTGGAAAGATGATGTACAATGGAACTGCCACATGGTTTGATGGGATTTTGTCTCAGTTGTTCGATAGTATCTGCTCCCCCCAAACTTAGAAATCTTATGGGTACTTTAGAAACTAGAACTTACTAGAGAAAAATATTGTTTGTATCAACTGCATCATCAAGCTGAAAATGTGCGGCCCTCATCCTACCTCCCATTGTGGTCACCCAGTCATTGACGCTACCATGGCCAGCAATCTATCCCCTCCGAACCTGGCCTTGCCCCTCCCACATCCCACCTACCAATGCCTCAATCCTCTTTCCCCCCTTTCTATGATCAGTATTCGCACCTAATCCCTCCTCCCAACCACTGTGGCCTGCATCCCCATTCTCGCAAACCTCCACCACCCTTAGCCTTGCATTCTCTGCACCCATCTCACCCTCCGACCCCCTCTATTCCCACCCCCTCGCCTCCTCCTCATCTACCCTACCCCTCCACTCGCCTCCCAGCTCCGTTTTCCATTTCGGTTGGGGGCCCCTACTCGATTCACATTGTTAGAGCCATGAACCTGTCTCTAGTAGGACAGTTTTTCCCTCTCAAAGATGACACCAAAGCCATGGAAGTCTGGGGTAAAGATATTTGGGCGATCTTTGATCTTTTTTGTTGAAAATTATCTTCTGGAGATATTCTTTTCTCCTTCAACTCTGAAAAAGACCTCCTCAAAGCTCTCAATAACTGCAACCCTAAATTTAAAGGTGCATGCATTCACCTCTAGAGATGGCATAGAGAAATGGGTGCTGCCCAACCTCAAAAACTTTGGCTTAAAGTATCAAATATCCCTCTTCAAGCTTGGCACATCGATACCTTCAAGAAGGTAGGCAACTCTTGCAGGGTCTTCATCTCAGCAAGGTTTCAAAAACGCTAGGCGGCCGGCCTGGCGCTCAGTGCCCAGGTAGGCGCCCAGAACCTTGGGCGTCCTGTTGTACAAATTCTTAAGATATTTCCATATATTTGCAATCGAGCTACTAATCAACTCAAAGGTCTTCTAATACCACCAATAGCACCCTAAAAATAATTTCAATGAGAAAAAAACTTTTTCAATCCACAAAAAATACTTTCAATTCTCTATAATACGTTTAACATACAGATTGAGGGTTTTTGTTTTCCCTTTGGGGGTTAATAATAACCCCCATAATGTATTTGTACAATCTTGGGGGTCAAAATTACCCCTTTTGCCCTTTTGGGTGAGTTTAAAAATGAAAAAGGGCCTACGACCCTGGGCGCTTGCCTGGCTCACCTGGGCACCCACCCAGGTATATTCGCATGTGTTGGGCCGCCTGGGTCTGGTCGTGCGGTGTTTTGCTTCAGGGCGCCTAGGCGACGAGCAGACCGTTTTTTGAAACATTGCGTCTCGGTACACTGGAAATCGTCTCCCTCTCTCCCTCTTGGCACCATCCAGCTTATCCCCTCCCCCGGACCCCCCTCCCTGTGGATTGAAGTCGATGGCCTTTTTTTTTGTGTCCCCTTGGCCTGGTCCTGTGCTTCTTCGTCAAACCCTCGCCATGTTCTGGATCTTCACGCCCCCCTCAGGTTCCTAAATCCATCCTTAATCTTGCGGGCCAAACTGGGAGGATACACCTCAATGGGTGGACCGTAGTCTCTTGTAGACGGTATCCACATGCCAACCATCCTAGGCATCCCTGACCTACCCCCCACCATCTCCATCCAGCTTTCAATCTCACGGCAGCCCCTCCCACCCTATTGCTTCTACGGAGCCCCCCCTTATTTAAAATCAGCCATGCTGCCCTCCCAGCTGACACCTGTCTCCCCTTTGGTTCGCCCTTTTAACACGCTATCTCTTCCTCTTTTTCCAACACCCAATGACATCCCTACACCTTGCTCGGGCCACGTGGCAGCCAAGCCCCATCTCGAGAAGACTTAGTCAGCGCTGCCCTTTTCCCATTCTCTATCTCCATCAATTGCCTTCGCCCTTAATTCCGTCTCTCTCATCCACTGGGGAGACTCAACTTTTATCTCGTGATTCAATCCCCATGCGCCCTCCAACTAGCAATGCTGTCTCCTCCGCATGCCTCGGGTTCATCTCAGCCAATGATCCTGCCCACCTCCACCTTCTCCGTGGCCTTGATCCCTGAGCCATCTCCCTTCTCTTTGGCCATGGTGGCTTTTGATGCCGGCACTCCAAGGCTCTCACCACCTCCCCCCCTTTTCTCAAATCTACAACAGCCTCTTCTTCAACCACCTCTTGCAACCAACACAGCTCTGTACTGGTTCGTCAATTCCTCCTCACCTCTCCTCTATGCCAGACCCTCATCAGGCTTGTCCAGCCATGCCAGTGGCGTATCCGCCTCACAGAACACTTATCCCTGGTCCATCGTTTAACCCTTCGTTGGAACTCCTTGGTCCTACTGAGGCATCCAATGTGCTTGCTGATCCACACTCTTGGTCCCTCTCTCTTGTACCAGTGGAGCCCCCTCTTCCGCTATCCCACCACTCCCCTCACCCTCTGGCATCTGCGGTTTCAAGCTGACATGCTTCTCCTCCCCCTCAAACTCCACTGGGCTGGGTATCTTTCTGTTCCCAAAAGGGATTCCCATCAACCCCACCTCTTTTCTTACCCTCCTATGCCCCAGACTGATCATCCTACCCCTCCTTGGTTAGAGGTTTCATCTCCTTCCCTTTCAAGGGCTTCTGTGGACTCTATCTTTGTTAATGAATTTGATAAAGCCCGAGGCAACGTCGATTTGCTTTACAGAGTTATGGGGTTCAACTACAAGGGCCTGATAGAAGCTTTTGAGGCCTTCCTCAAATCCTCATTCCTTGTCCAAGCAACAAAGGACTCTAAAGGCAAGGCTACTGCGACTCCCCAACGAGGTAATTGTGAACTCGCCAATCTACAATGTTTTATAAATTATGAGAAAAGGGGAGTCCTCAACCCTCCTTGCTGCTTCCTCCAACCCCTTGGCTTGGCAAAACCATAGATGCTCGTCGAGACGTCCCCCCCAAAAACTGGACCCTGGACCATGAAGGTCCTAATTTGGAACATCTGTGGTCTTAGCACTCGGACAAGCGGATGTCTACAATATATGCTCATCCAATTTCTCTTCACTCCTCGGTTTAGTGGAAACTAAACTTCCCTCTCCCCCTCTCCTTTTTATTTGGCAAATTTGGGGCCATAGACCAGTTCAATGGCTCGCTCTTGAAGCCCTTGGCGCTTTGGGCGGCATTTGGTTTCTCTGGGACCCCTCAATTTTCTCCCTTGTCCATCACACTATAGGGTGTTTCTCTGTTACTGGAGTTCTCTTAAGAATCTTTGATGGCCTCTTATGGAAGGCCACAATTGTATACGGCACAAACTCTGATTCCCTTCGTAGTCTTTTTTGGGGTGAGCTTCCAGCAGTTGCAACTTTGGCCTCTGCCACTGGGAAGGTAGGGGGGAATTCAATATCACAAGATGGTCTCATGAGAGAACTCTAACTACTATATCACCCTTGCAATGGTTAGTTTTTCGGATTTCATTTCACTCAATAATCTCCTTGACATCCCCCTAGAAGGGTCTGAATTCACATGGTCAAACCGCTCCCCTAACCCCCTCCCCTTCAAAACTGGATCGTTTCCTTACCTCGGTCAAATGGGACAATAGATTTCCTGGTACTCACTCCCTCGTTCTACCCAAACCAACCTCTCAGATCACCGTCCTATTCTTCTTGACACTCATGCTATCTAGAGAGGCCCTAAACTGTTATGCTTTAAATTGGCATTTTTGAAGAGAAAAATTTCACCTTTACTGTTCGATCTTTGTGGGAATCTTTCACCCGTTGGTTCACAGGTGGGCTGGTTTTCGTCTTCAAAGGAAGCTCCAACTTTTGAAGAATTCCCTAAAACTTTGGAGCTCACAGTTACCTGCTAATTTCAAAGCTCCGAAATCTTTCCTCCTTCAAACCATCAGTTCTTTGGACTCCATTGAGGAACGCATACCTCTACTACCTAGTGAATTTCAGCTTAGATCCAATACCAAGATAGAAACTAGTTCTAATCCTAAAAAAGGAAGAAATCTACTGGTCTCAAAGAGCAAGGATGAAATGGCTCAAACTTGGAGATCTCAACATGGCTTATTTCCATAAAGTTGCGAACTACCGTAGATGTGAAAATTCCATCTCCCATCTCATTGTTGGAGGGCAAACTGTCCATGAACCCCAACTTCTAGAGAAGGCAGCAGTGGAATGCTTTCTACTCTCTTTTCCTCTGGGCCCAAGGCCCATCATAGAAGACTTATCCTTCTCCCACTGCCCACCCTTGTGCTGTTGCATAGCTAGAAAAACCGTTCTCTGAGGATGAAATAACTCAAGCCATCGTGACCTTAGCTCTGACCAGGCCCCGGGCCCAGACAGATTCCCCGTTG